TTTTTTTTTTTTTAAGTGTATCATTTTTTTTTTTAACTTATTTTGAGAGAGAAGGCGTGCACGCGATCGGGGGAGAAGCAGAGAGAGGGAGAGAGAGAATCCCAAGCAGGCTCCGTGCTGTCAGCGCAGAACCCGACGCGGGGCTCGAACTCACGAACCGTGAGATCCTGACCCGAGCTGAAACCAAGACTCGAGACGCGCAGGCCGACTAAGCCACCCGGGGCCCCGCACGGTGAACTGTTTTCTGAAGTTCTTGAAATCTTCTTTCCAAAGTCGGTGTCACATGTCCCCAAAGTACAGTGGGGGGCCAGGCTGACAGTCCCCAGTGATGCGCCATCTGGGACGCTCAGGTCCCTTCCCATCGACCCCAGGGCTCCCGGCCGCTGCAGCCCTGGGTGACACTCTCCTGGGGATGTGGTATCTGAGGCCCGTGGCCGAAAATGGGAAACCCAGGCTAGGCCAGAGGGGACGCCACGGAGAGCCTCGGGACCTGCAGGACGGTGTTCAGCTTCTCTGTGCGGACCGGCAGCCTTCAGTGAGGCGGGAGCGGCTCTCCCCAGGGAGCAGGATGATTTTTGAATGTATAGTGTGATACCGCAAGGCAAACAGTGTCCCAGACGCTGCTCCTATGGCTTTGGCCTGGGCTCGAAATTAATTACGGCGCCGTGTGTATTTCCAGACCGGGGCAAAATAAGGCAGCCTCTGTCCAGCTCGGCCTCTCACGCCGCCCCTGAGGTCAAGGCTGCCACAGACTAACGAGCTCTTTTAGTGGTTTCGTTCCTCCCAGACGCCAGCCTCTGGGTCCCTGCAAAGGGCAGGAGTCTGGGGCTCGGGGAAGACGTACCCCCAGGTTGGGCCGGGGACACATCTCTCCGGAAAGGGGCACGGCCCACAAACGTCAGGCGAAGGAGCCGACCGTTCAGGGCCTGGACACTCTGCCCAGAGGTCTCGCCGCTGTCCTGGGACACACGTGGGCTCATGTGGACCAGCTGCAGGCAGGAAAGGTGGGGAGCCCGAGGGTTAAGGCAGCAGGCCACCCGCCTCACTTTACAGCCAGGAGGAAAGAAGGGTTTCTACACCCGCGTTAAAGGGGTGGTGATGCAGACGCCGGGATTCGGCAGGCGGGGGCCCGGGGCTATGCCGACGTCAGCCCTGGTGGGGACCGGTCACCCCACAGCTCCAGCTCCTGCCGGCGTCTGCACAGGGTCCCACGGGCCTTGCTGGGGCTCCGACGCTCACCATCCACCTGACCGGGTCTTCCCTTCACACCCCCGGCGACCACCCCGGCCCTGAGGAACAGTCCAGCTGCCAGGTCTGGACAATGGCAAAGAGCAGCCATGTGACCAGGAGGTGCTGGGAAGGCTCCCCTCTGCTCGCGTCGGAGGAGGAGCTGGGGGGAGGGGAGGGCGTGCGAAGCGGCCCGCGGAGACCCCCCCAGCCTGGTCCCCAAGGCCTCCGTGGGGCCTGCAGCGAAAGCATCTCTTGAAGAGGAGAAAGAGCCTGCTTTAGTAAGCATGCGCCCAGCCCGCCAGCAGCTAGGGCCCAGGGAAGGCCAATGAAGTCACACATCCGAGACGTCCCTGGTCCCAGATGATCCCCAGCTAGACGAAGTGGTGGGGTTTCTTAGATACACGTATGTACCCCTCCTGTCTCCCGTGAGCCGCGCTGAGCAAGCAGGGCAGCGGGGGGGAGGGGTGAGAAGGGATGGGGCCTTCCACCCCTCTGCCTGGATGACCCGGGCCGGTTTCCACCTCCAAAACATTATGAGGAGGGACTGGTCTCAGGTGAGTAACCAGACACCCCCTGGCCGGCAGCTGAATACAACGCATTGTTTTTGACACTTCAGGGCTGTGCCCTGGTACCAGAGTGAGGCCCTCTCCTGCAACAGAGAAACCTCTTTGAGAAAGTCAGTCCTCCCCTGGTTTGTCATCCTGGGCCACGAGCTGCACTTGGCATGGGGACCTCTCCCCACGCCCGTCCTGGGCTGCACGGCCCACTTCGTCTCCCCAGTGGCCCAGGAGGGCGAGACGAGGAAACCGAGGCACAGAGGAGTGAAGTCCCCGCAAGGGACAGACTCCGGGACAGAATGTGGGTGCGAATTCGGGCCCGAAGGCCTGAGCCCCCACTCTCCAGCGCCCGTCTGACTTCCGTGCTCCCCGGGAGCAGCACAGCCCCTCCTCCAAAGCCCCTGTGCCTCCTTCCAGGGGAAGAAGGGTCCCTCGGGAACCCGCTTCTCACCCAAGCAGACAACGATGACCAGGGACCCCACGGCCACGTCCAAGGCACGTGGTTACTGTCTGCTGTGCATTTCGAGAGCACGAGCCGCTCCAGACCCGGTACGAGGCACCGCAAAATGTACGAGGCCTCACCTAAGGCCCACGACCTGAAGGCGGAGCCCCGAGGCTGCTTCGTATTCCGTGTCTCCCTCTCTCCACGCCCCCCGCCCCCGCCCCGCTGCCCCAGGGCCCTTACTCAGCAAACACTTACTGAACAGAAGTCCATCCCAGCTTTCCTGACCACGTTCCTCTGGTCAACCGGGGTGGCGGGGGGGGGGGGGGGGGGGGGGGGAATCTCCCGAGGCCCCGTTTTGGCCTCTCGGGAGCACATTTACATGCACCGCTCACTCACGGCATCTTTTATCAGCTGACCGTCAATCTGCACGGAGTCCGGTGCGTGGCATTAAGGCGAGGGGAGGGGGTGCAGGGGACGAGCTGTCCTGTCCCTTTTCTTCCCAGCCTCCTGGAGCCTTCGGGTCCAGAACAGTCCCTCTGGCTTGGCCACCTCTAGCAGAAGAAGCAACCTCAAGGCCTCACCCAGACTCCCTTCCCAGGGGCCAGTGCCCAAATGCAGTCCCGCGTCACCCTGTTTGTTGTTCTACAACACGCACTGGGGCTGCCTGTGTTTCGCCCGCCAACTCGTTACTTATTAGCTCCCATCTAAGGAGCATGCTTGTCCTCACAGCCACACAACCTGTTCTTGAGTTTCGCAAATCTCAAGTATGTCTGTTGGCATCAGCTCTGCCTTCAGAGGGCAGATGTCCAACGACGGGCATCAGTTAAGACGTTGTCTTCCGCCCAGGTATCTGCAGACACGGCCGGCAGGTACACGCCAGCTGTCTGGGCAGCCACTGGGCCGCAACGTCCGCCCGTCACCGTGGGCGGCCACCAGCTGGGAGGTCCAGCTCTGTGCCGAGGTTTCCGGGTCCAGCCCCGGGCCCAGACACGCTTAGGAAGTGCCCAGTTGATAGCTGCTGCATGTAACGTCCGCTCTAAACATTCAAGACCTTGCTGGATTCTCCTCTTGCACTGTGCGGGACCCAGGAGAGAAAATCACGACGTGGTATTGGAAAAATCAATGCTCCCATTAGATATCCTCAAACCCTAGACGGAGCACGGTCTCCTTCTCAATTATTCACGAGCCCACAGGCCTGTTCCAGGAACACCGGACCCCTGCCTCGTGGCCCCCTCCTCGCCCTTCGCAGCTGCCCGAATGTCCATCACATCTGCTTCCCGACCTATGCACAGAGGCAGCAAAGCACAGGGCAGGAAGCTTCGTCCACGGTCCACACAGGCCGAGGGGGTGGCTCAGGCAGGGGGCGGCTGTACTGACAACAGGATGCGGACCCCAGAATCGCCTACTCAGGGCATGATCTCGCAGCTTGTGAGTTCGAGCCCCGCGTCGGGCTCTGTGCTGATTGCTCACAGCCTGGAGCCCGCTTCGGATTCTACCTCTCTCTACCCCTCCCCTGCTCACGCTCTGTGTCTCTCTGTCTCTCAATAATAAATAAATGTTTAAAAAAAATTAAAAAAGAAACTAGTTTAGGCAGGAAAGACTCACACTCTCTCAAAAGGACTCTACAGACGCGATCTCACT